TTGTTTGTTTGTTTGTTTTTGCTTTCAGAGAAGGCAGAACACTTTTGCCAACAGATGAGTTTGTTGAATGAAATTAGTTTAACACCTTAAATGTCTGCTATGATTGAATTCGCAGCTTTGCATTCAATCATGAATGTTCAAAGAGACATGCTCAAACCATACCCAGCACTCACTACAGATCCAAACAAAGCAAACAGCAGGGCTTGAGGAATTTGAATAGCATGTCGTCCGACCACCAACCTTGGCAAGCAACTCATTCGCCGCCAGTGCCGTGTGCAAATCCCTTTTGATGGATAAATTCAAGCTATATACAGCAGCCCGTCATCGTATCATGATGAGTCTGTTTGCAGAGAGAGATTGGATCTGATTGAGAGGAACCTTACACCAGTTCTTTGATGATCTGATGATTTAAGTAGCTACACTAGTAGGCATAATAATGAGAGAATTAGAATATGCATGTCCTGTGCCCAGCGCGGATAGTAGTGAAAGGCAAGACAAAGTCAGCCCTTGCTGCATAATAAATGTTATCTTTTAGAAGTGCACCTCAGACTAATGAGGGGCATTCCGCTGTTAAACTATATCGACAAAGGTCCTGTCCTAAAAAAAAAAAAAAAAAAAAAAAACGGAAAAATTAAGTGATATACGAATGGCCTCTCATTTGGAGCAAGTGCAACTTCAAATGCGGGAGGCTTTTTTGAAGATTTTGGAGTTCTTCAATGGGACTTGTTGAGCATGACAGATATCACTAATGTCGGTGAATGGGTGTCGCCACTGCGGTTCAATTGGATGGGGTTCAGGTCAGGGCCGTCAGTTTCTTTCATGCGAAATGAATCAGTTTTCACTGGAGTTGGTGAGTTGAATCCGCAGAGAGCAGTGCAAAATTGATTGAAAACACGACTATTTGTATGACTCGAAAATATGATTTTGAATGCAGGTCTTGGTGTCTGTTTGGGTTTTTAATTTGAGCTGTGGGAGTCAAGTGTCCCCACTGGTCAGAACAAATGTGCTATCAAGCTCAATATTTTCAGAGGCACATGCAAAACCAGGAAGATCCTTTTTTGTGTTTGTGAGTGTGCGTGCGTACGCATGTGTCTGTTAATTTATTACTCACGGCGTTGCCACACTTTCCCTAAAAGTGTAGCACTCTACTGATTACTTGTTTTAAAAGTAACTTCGTGACTTTGCTAATTGATTTTTTTAAAACTAAGTTAGATTACAAGTTAGTTAAATACTTACATTCAGTGAAGCCCGACAACCCTGCTTTCGATAAAAATGACACCAGGTTTCGCTACTTTATTGGAAGGGCATTTTTTACTCACATTTAAGAATCCATCCATCTATTTCAACACCGCTTATCCTGAAGAGGGTTGTGGGGAGTTGCTGGAACCTACCCCAGCTGACTTCGGGCGGAAGGCAGAGTATACCCTGAACTGGTCCCCAGACACATATAGAGACAAACAACCATTCACGCCCAAATCCACACCATCACTGAGTGGGACCCTATCCCACGCTGCCCGCACTTAAGTCCGGCGAGTGGACCACTTCACCATCAGCGACTTACATTTCAGAAAAAAAAAAAAAATATCAAAAATAAAGAACCTTTTTGACAATGGAATAATTTGAGTGAAAAAAAAGAGTATTTTGTAGATTTCACTTAACATGAATCGGCTACTTGAAAAAAAAACATTCAGGACCTCACTTAACATAAATACTTTTTAAAACAAAATGTAAAATAAAGGCAGGGTTTTTTTTTGTTGTTTTTTTATTTTACCTGACATATTTAACTCTTAATTTTGTAATGGCAGAACTCAACATTCATAATTTACATTGTTGATCAATAAAACGCTATTTTTTTTTGGGGGGGGGGGGTCGCTCCACATACCACCACATGCTGTGTAGGAACCGCAAGGCATTTCCATATACCAGTAGTCAGTGTAAGCAACCCTAATTGTATTCGGCGCCGTACATGTTTCCGTCAACCAAAAGGGCATCCATCAGTGACGGACTGAGAGGTCTGTCGGTACTTGACACGCTTCGTGACCATTACACTGACCGACAAAAACCCACTTCTGTCAGTCGATAGTCCGTCCTTTTTGTTTTGTTTTTTAAGTTTCCCGTCCTTCATCAATCGTCAGCAAAACGGGCGTCTGTCGGTGACGGACCGACACACCTTCCGTCAGTTTTGACAGAATACCCACCTCTGTATACACACAGATTCAGAGAGAGAGAGAGAGAGAGAGAGAGAGAGAGAGAGAGAAAGAGAGAGAGAGAGAGAGAGAGAGAGCGAGAGAGAGAGACAATCTATTACTATGTGCCATGTTTCACTCCATCACACGGACCATAATCTCGAGTGACAGCTATTGATGACCTGCAGTGTGTGACTTGTACGCCAGCAGCTACGTCTCAATTATTACACAGTGTGAAATTGTTACTGTCTGAATCCTGGTTCAACTTTTACAGCTTCATGCCTCTTTGCACTCAGTTTGCAAAGCCCGTCATCAGGCCTTTTGGGAACTCGCTTAAGTACCAAGAGAAATGAAGTTTGTAGCCTCTGGAATTCCATTAAGCATCTTCTGTTTCCAGGATAGACACTGACGTATCCTTGGCAAAGGCTCGCCACCACAACCAAAACAATGAGGAAATCTCTTTGGCTTAGAAACACCCCGCAATGCAGACTGATTCTCTTACCGGGATTTTTCGGATACTATATGGGAGTGTGATGAGCCAATGATGATACAAATGGGGATGATTTGTATATGCAACAGCCATACATTTTATTTAGCCACTTGATAGTGGATGAATTACCCTTCGCGAGGCAAGGAAAGCTTGTACTGTGTAATACCAAGCAAAAATCCTTTTCAGTGTGCTCTACATTGAGTCGGTAAATATGCAAAATATCTACCCAAAGTTCAGTATATGATGTGCAGTGTATGATATACGATATATATATATATATATATATATGTATATATATATATGTATATATATATATATATATATATATATATATATATATATGTCAAGTTTTACCTGACATATTTAACTCGTAATTTTGTAATCGGAAAAGTCAACATTCATCATCTACATTGTTTTTAAGTACAATGATGTGCCCATCACTAATAAAGACAAACGGCGTAGCTTCATTGTTGTTGGGCATATGTGGGCACATACATGCACAGCCTGGCCATGCTTTTGGAGAAACCGAGCAGCCTTGGTTTCCTTCGCGATATTATTTACATCTGCTTAGCAACAAAAATTAATCAGAAGGAATTGAACAGCTCCTGAGACAATACAAGGCGAACAACACAGCACTCCATCGTAAATAAGTCATGCTAGCATGTAGCAGCCGTGGATAAGAACAGCTTGTTCGCATGCGTGTTTCATGCATGTTTCATGCATGCGAACATTCGTGATAGAAATGAGGTTACACTCAAATGTTGCTAGCAGTCTAAAAACTGCAAACTTCCCCTTCAAACTCAAACTACAAAGTTCAGGGTTGTTGACATTCAGGTATTGATTCTTCAGCCGCTTGTAAATATGCTTTGAAATGCGGAGTGAACAAATGAGTAAACAAATTACTCATGTTTTTTAAAATGGGATACATTTGAGTTCAAAACAGAACATGGATTTAGATGTACATTTACTATTAAAATTAATTCACTTAAAGGTACCAATGTTACATTTGCATATGTATAAATATGAATTTGAAAAAAATAATACATTCAAATTTTATTCATATTATCTTATAAATATATTTGTAAAAATTACACTACTTTTTCCCACTGTAATGAAAGCATTTGCAGGGCAATTATGAAACGTGCTGAAGACCTTTTCAAATAAATATCATATTTTACAAATCCAATAGTTTGTAAAAAAGCAATCACTCCAGTCATTGAGATATTACGCAAAGCCACAGAAATTGTAATCATGCTGTTATTAAAGAATAAAAAGAAAACAACTCTTTTGAAGTATGGATACATTTTAATTGACACTCAGATATTAATCTATTTGATGATTATTGAAGTCGGGCTACGAAGGTGTGTAATTATCTTGACTTTATTATAGGCTAACTGTATGAATAAGGTGATTTGGGATTTGACTTAACACAGGACGTGACTTCACATGACGCATATAATGACGCATGTGCAGCTCGAGATGTCAATAAACTGGCCAAATTTGATACATATGAGGTAAGTATTCTTATCTACTTATGTTTCTAGAAAATACATGCGAAAATAAGTGGCACATCATAAGGGAATGCAAAGAAAAGTCATTTTCATGGAGCAAACAGTCTACTTTTTCTTGTTCGTGCCAGAGCAGCATTTATGAGCCTTCACAGTGACACAGTTTAATTTGGACTCTGTTGTCCAGCGGTATGAGACTGTGGCTTCATTTCTTTCAGTGGTATTTTGTGCATTTCAGTGTTTTACCCCAACTGTCGGCTTTGGCAGAGACAGACGTCTGGCAGAGGCAGATTTAAACTAAAGCTGTATTCTTAGCGGAAAGCAGCATTATTCAGAAAGCAAGCACTCCTTGTGGTGAGATATTCCAAAAAATGCCTTGATTTATTTATCTTGGTGGGCTCCTTCGGAATAATGTTTGACCAAAATCAACATAATAGATCCTTGCAGTGCCTCAGTGGCTGTGTGCTTTTATCCCGGCTCATGGTGTGGAACAGCATTGTGTTCTGTGAGGCCACGCGCTCTTACTTGTCCCGAAATTTAATGAGGGAGCAGCTTTGGCCTTCTTTTAAAAAAAAAAAAAAAAAAAAAAAACTCAATATCCTCCCCTCCTGTCGTATCATTTTGTGACATAAATAAAACAAACAAAATGGTCAAAACAAAGCACAACCAGGAAAAACCCATGGCGTCATTCTACAAAAGAGCACATTTCAAAAAGCCAGGAATATTTTCAGATTTTTTGTTTCCTCAAAATTGCTTTGTGGCTAGATAATATGCCACCAGAAAGCTAATTTGAAACTCTTGATTTTCGTTTTTTAGGTGACCCAGAAGAGACAAGTTTGACTCGGATCAAAACAAGAAACGGAATCTGCCTCCTGCTTTCTCATGACCAATATGTGTCTGGATACTTGAGTAGACCAAACAAGTTACGATCACCGTGAGTACCATGAAATCACATTCTTAGGTGCTCTCTCGCTATTTCACTATGTGTTAAAATGCACGCACTCCATCTCGCTAAGAAGTGTCTCAATTTGACGCGACAGCAGCACCCCGTATATTTTCGAACCTGTAAGTGGTTTTGCAGGTGGCCATTTATCAGTCATGGCCAAATGGGTGCATGATATTTTGACAGACTAATGAATATTATCCAATTTCAATATTTCTCAAGCTGTCATGGTGTTGCGTTTGTCCAATTTTTAGCCTTTGTTGACTCATTAGACTTCTGTCAGCTCGTGTTGGTATAATTAACCGTGGTGTCAAATTGCAGCATGAATTCGATACGGGGAAAAGAACACATTTAGTTCTCTGATATGGTAATTTTCCATTTTTATTCCACAAAGTGTCTGATGTTGTCTAACACACCCAAATCTTTTATGATGTATGTATTCTTTTATTACAATTATTGTTTTTGTAATTAGCTTGGTGTTCGGATTTGTAGTGTGATTTTTTTTTTTCATGTGGTCTTTAATAACAGCTTCAGAGTCTTTTTAAATATCATCAAAGTCATTTTATTAACTCACCGTGTACCCTATAATATTATTGAGTGTTACTAATATTGCAAAATATGTCTTTGGGGATCATGTCTTTGCAATGAGTTGAGAAATATTCTTTGGGCCAATACATTTGAGCGCATGGAATATGTGCGTGTTTCATCCCCATCAAACAAAACAAGTTCAACTTCGCTAAAATTTGACATACTTAATCTAATCCTCTTACATGCCATTGTACTTTTGTCTAGCATGATTAAATGATACAAATCAGTGAGCGGGTCAAAAACCCAACACATTCTGATATACAAAGTTGGATTAGGTTCTTAAGCCATCTGCCCACTCTTCCTCGACTCATTCTATTCATCACCCTTTCTGTGAGGAAAATTGGCACCATTTACTGCTGTCACTGCAGGGCTTATTGTCGCCTTTTATTCCGGGGACAAAGCTGCCTTGACATTGAAATGATCCTTGCTTGTTTCAAATTTACTTTCAGGAGGAAGAAGGAAAACAGATAAGCGGTTCGAGTAGGCGGTGGCAAGTAGGTGCCATACCTCAGGGGCGGGAAAAAATGGATTACAATGAGTGGGACAGTTCATGAAAAGATAAAATGCAATCTGCCAGGGAAATTGGGTTGATTTCGTTCAAAAGTGTCAGGTAGGTGTTGAGCGCCTGCAGGTGTTCCCCCTGGGAGTGATCGAATAAAGACTTTGAGAGCTTACCAGAAAGTCAGACAAGACGAGCAACAGCCAAAATATGCTCCTCTAAATTGGAGGTTTAATGAATGTGTTAACCTCTGTCAGACTCAGCTCAACTTTGATATGGCTTTTTCCATTAAAAGAATATTTATTGAATTGATTTGAGAGTCACCTAATACAGATAAAATTATTGGGAAATCAAGCCGTTTGATCGAATGGACAAGGCATTTGCATAAAAACAATTTTTACACTTTTGGAAAGATTTTTCTCCCAGATTTTCCCCCAGCTGTCAGTAGGTGGGGTACACCCTGAAGTGGTTGCCAGCCAATCGCAGGGCACACAAACAACCATTCACACTACACTCACAATCACACCGAGGGACAATTTTGAATGTTCATTCAACCTACCATCTTTTTGCAATGTGGGAGGAAACCGGAATACCCGGAGAAAACCCACACTGGCAAGGGGGGAATGTGCAAACTCCGCAACTATATAGTGACTGTTTAGCAGTATTTTGTTTCTTGAAGATTTTTTTTTTTTTTTTTTGTGGTTTGAAATGTTTTTCCCCCCAATTCATTTCAATGGTCGTCAATTACAAACGGATTCATGGGGCGTTCTGGTCTCTACCTTTCGGGAAAAGTGGAGGTCAACTGTGCATTTCTGTTCCTTCCTCTGCCACGGTATCCAGTTCCCCGCTTTCCATAATCCATACTGCTCCAGTAAATGGGAAAATATTAATCCTGTCAACACTCTTGCACAGTCATAGCAAAAGTAGCTTCACAACTGAAGCTGTACTGTGTTAAAAACAGCGGCTCTACAACCTTGCTTATGTCACTACTGTCCGACACTGCCTCAGCTCTTAATGATAATTATTACAGAGTGCCTATTAAAAGTGTCTACAAATATATTGGACATATAAACATTAACTTGTCAGTTACAAGGTTTTACTAGCTAATGACAGAGTGATTGCACAATGTGCGGTGTGGTCCATCTATGAACACAATATATTCTAATTCATCAACTTGGACAATGAAATGATTGACATTATTGGATTCAAAAAACAAATCAACATACACCACAGAGCAGAGAATTAAAAGACATGTTTGTGTACTAAAAGTCTGTATCTTTGTCAATAATATGAAGTCCATGAGGACGTAGAGCAGGGGTAGGGAACCTTTTTGGCTAAGAGAGCCATGAAAGCAAAATATTTGGAAATGTATTTCAGTGAGAGCCATATAATATATTCATTCATTCATCTTCCGAACCGCTTGATCCTCACTAGGGTCGCGGGGGTGCTGGAGCCCATCCCAGCTGTCTTCGGGCAGTAGGCAGGGGACACCCTGAATCAGTTGCCAGCCAATCGCAGGGCACACAGAGACGAACAACCATCCACGCTCACATTCACACCTAGGGACAATACAGAGTGTTCAATCAGCCTACCAAGCATGTTTTTTTTGGAATGTGGGAGGAAACCGGAGTACCCGGAGAAAACCCACGCAGGCCCGGGGAGAACATGCAAACTCCACACAGGGAGGCCGGAGCTGGAATTGAACCCGGTACCTCTGCACTGTGAAGTCGACGTGCTAACCACTGGACTACCGGGCCGCCTGCCATATAATATACTGTATTTTAAAAGTGAATTCAACATGTCAGTTTAAAAAGCCTCTGAATTAATTCTTTTAAATAATTTGGTTATGATACTCACCATTAATGTGAATGGTTTTCTGTTCCTCACTATTGCTAAAGATCTAGCTTGCACCCTACTCAGTCGCTTGAACGCTTTCTTTCTGGTGTCTCCCGTAGGGTATTTTGATGCGACCGTAGCATGGCGCGTGTCAAAGTTCCGCTTTACATTCGACCGTTTCAGCGATGCAATTTTGTCATTGCAAATTAGACACACCAAAGAACCTGTTCTCTCCACTAAGGCGAATTCTTTGGTCCATTCGTCCTAAAGCGTTCCATACTCATCATCTTTTTTTTTTCTTTTCACCATCTGCTTAGTCGAAGGGTTAGCTTTGAGCTAATAACTGAGCACATTGAGTCAAAAATTGTTTGCCCAGCAATTGCTCCTGCAGCCAACAGCAGCCCTGAACAGGACATTGTCATGATTCGGTTTGGGACCAACAGGTGGCACTGTAAGGCTCTCCCTGCAGCTGCACACCTGTTGGTCATTATGTAATTAGTGCTTTAAAAGGACTCCCAGTCCGAGCACTCATTGTCAGGTCATTGTTGCTGTTCCTTTGCTGCTGTCATGTTTGTTTGTTTTGTCATGTTTCGGTCATGTTTCTGTTGCTATTGTTTTTGAGCTTCTGCTGTGGTTTTTTTTTTTGATACTTTGGATTCGTTTTGTTGTTAGGACTTTGTTTAGGATTTAGTTCTCTGTGTTTTAATACAATTCTTCAAGTACACCCTGCTCCTCCCTCCTGCCTGCTTTTTGGGGGTCCACCACCACCTCGCAAACGTGACAGACATGAGCAGTGAAAAATTGATGGATGGATTAAACAAGTGAAAATATTTTGTTTTATCTGCACGCCAGATGCAATCATCAAAAGAGCCACATTTGGCTCGCGAGCCATAGGTTCCCGACCCATGACGTAGAGCCGTCTCCAACCTTCTTGGAACCCCATAGCCTAATGACATCTTTAAATAAGATCGAAATATATTTTTTTTCTTTTTCTACACACATTTTACTCCGTAGCACTTTGAAGTGCATAAAAGTTTCTCTGGGCCAAAGTAACATGACCTCAGGGGTTTGGGAAATGAACTTGAGATTTACATTACTCAGGACAGCCATTAGAAAACCCCCATGGTGGCACATACACAAGGCTTACTCCCAAGGAACATGCTCTCCTTGAAAGCAAAACATTCCTTTTCAAACTGTTCCGATCATAGATATAACAGATGACACAGTCCATAAAATATCCAAACTAAAAAAAACATACAAAAACCCCCCCAAAAAATAGTGACAAAGATGATGCGTAACGTTACGTGATGTATTTTAACTGTGGCTAACCTTGACAGTGGTCTGTTGTTCCCTCATGGTGTGTTTCATGGGTAATAAAATAAGTGAAAAATAAACAAACTCTTTACAACAGCTTTATTGCTTCTTGGCAGATTCTCAAGGTCACTGAGACTCCCACACATTATCAACATGAGCTGAGAAAAAGAAAGTGGAGGTAGCAATAGTGCAATCATCCAATTGCTTCAACTAGATTTCATTGATGATGCCCAGATGCCTTTCACAAAACTAAATTTGAGGCATTTTTTTTATTCAGTCTTATTTTGTTCTCCTTTTACCTGATCTCTTTCCTAGTTTAGATTTGAAATCTGTTTATGTTTAACGCTGTAACTGCAGGTGTAATCTACAATGTCAATAAGTGAAATGAGGATTTCTCAGTAAATTTCAACATTAAAGTGTACATCTGCCATGATGGCGTGAGCAAGCGATGAAGTAACAAAAGACAAATATGTTGGCAAACTGTTGAGCTGGGCTTCATTGACTTCTTAACAGTTGAATTTAACGGCTCGATAGCCAGCTCAATATTGTCATACACACGCTTCTGTGTTTTGTTCTCGAATGCAGAAGGATGTCACACAGTGCATGCACTTCTCCCACATATATATGTAACGCGCAGATGTGAGACGTGTGTGTGTGTGTGTGTGTGTGTGTGTGTGTGTGTGTGTGTGTGTGTGTGTGTGCGTTCCATCGATCCATTAACAATGATGCACTTTTTCACAGCACACATTTCTAT